TGCCACTCACAGAGCAAACCCACTCGGATCCGTGGGGCTGGAGCCTGGCAGCATCTTTTCTGCATCTTCCCGCACCCCCCACGCCATGTCTCCCACTTCTGTGGCCTTGGAGCCTGCTGCCCCACCCCGGCCCTGCCACCTGCCTGGCCTTGGCTCTTCACCCTCAGGCAGGCACCTACCAGTTCCAGGTCATGCTCTGGCTCCTTCTGGGGCGTGGGTGTCTCCTTGGGCTTGGGGGTGATGGCTGGGGGTGGGGTCAGGGAGGCAGCTCCGGGGGCCTGGGCCTGGGCATTATGCTCCAGGGGCTGGCTCTGGCGCTGCTTTGCCTGCTGCTCCAGGGACAAGGTCATGGCCTGGGTGGTCATCTGCTGGGCCTGAGGGGGGAACGGTGGTGTGCCAGGTAAGAGCTGGCCTAGCCTCGCCCCACAGATCTGTACCCACTAGGCAATCCATGGGCCCTGCCCGTCCTCACCAGGATCAGCGCCTGCTGGTTGATGAAGTTCTGCTGCTGGGCTGCCAACAGCCTCGCGTCCACACTGGGAAGCAGGGGCTGTGGCTGTGGCTGTGGCTGCGGTGGCGGCACCACCACGGCTGCGAGTATGGCAGGCAGTCAGGGTGGACGAGCGCCATGGCTGAGCTCCCAGCCCTCTGCCCACTGTGCCCTCTAGGCCCCAGGCAACACCCTCCCTCCTCCAGTACCCACCTGACAAGGGACCCAGTGGCTATAGCCCAGCCTTACCTGGCATGGCAGGGACCGCCCCCATTGCTGGCATCATGGGCATGGGTGCAGGCATCATGGCTGGCTGGTATCCGGGCATCTGCATCATCCCTGAGTACACTGAGGGAACAGGGCATCCCCCCAGGTCGGTCCCTACCTGGGCCCACAGACAGCCTCCCTTTAGCCCCAGGCAAAGAGAAGAGGACGGGCCACCAGGGTGCTGGCCGGAGCTCTGCAGCTGCGTGGTGATCCCAGGCCATGCTTGCCTGTGTTGCTGGGCAGGGAGGCTCTGGATGGGTGCTCAGCCCCGCACTCACCCACAGGATAGCTGCCTTGCTGCATGGGCCCCATGGCGCCCCCTCCCTTCATGCGGCCACGCAGAGCCCTGCCTTGCTCCAGATCCTGAAGGGACAAAAGTCACAGGTCCCAAGGTCAGAGCTAGAGCCCTAGGAGGGATGGGAGGGGCAGCAGAGGCCCCAGGGGCGTAGGGGCAGCAGTGGGGTGGGGTCTGCGTGCAGGACACTCACGCTGAGGCACGGGGAGAAGAGGTGGTCCAGGAAGCCATCCAGACTCCCTGAGGTCCGGGACTCACCTGTGGAGGGTTACTGTCACCTGCCTGGGGCGTGGGGCTTCTGGCACCCCCATTCCCAGCACTCTGCCAACCTCAGCGTGCCCACTCCCAACCTTACCTGTGTGACCCCTGCTGGGCAGAGGTGGGGCTGGGCCTGGAGGGGGACCTGGGGGCAGTGAGGGGGCCTGGATGCCAGGGGCCGGGGGGATGTCCTCGGCTCTGCAGGAGATAGTGGGCCCAGCTGAGGAGGTGCCCTGGCCGGGGGGTTCCCAGGTTGAGGCAAGATATAGAAGTTGCTGTAGGGGTCATCCCCCTGCGGTGGGCGGAGGCTTGGGGGCGGGCTGGGCCCGTGGCAGCACCTGTGAACCCCCGTGGATGACAGGGTGGCTGAAGGGGTCACCTACGACAGGATAGGGACAGGAGCAGGCCAGGGGTGCTGTGGGTGGCACCTACAAGCCACGGGGGGCGATTGGGTAGCTGTGGGGACCGGCCGGGTCCCCCAGATCCTCGGTCCGGCCGATCAGGTCCAACACAAAGTCGCAGCCAGCCAAGTCCTGCCAGGAGTCCTTAGAGTGCAGTGACACAGACCAGCCACGTGGGGGCGGATCCAGGCCTCTGGGTAAGACAAGGGCATGTAGCAGAGGATGGTCAGCCAGGCGGACGACCATCCGGAAGGGACAAGGACCTGAGGGTGGGCTGGGGGGAGGGGGTTGTGGAAGGGGACAGGAGCCTGGCTGAGGACCCAGTGCAGCTCACAGCCCTCTACGTCTACGGTGGCTCTGATGCATTTATTCATTCAATTTGATGAGCATCTGGACCAGGTCTAGCAGGTATACTCTCTACTTGCTCTCCGTCTTGAATCTACTGTCTGGATCCTGCCCACCTACCCCGACCCCTCGCCCCCATCCCGCCCCCCCGGGGAGCAGGCTTTGGCCTTGGGCCTGCAGGAGCAGCCGCAGGAGGTGCCTGGCGGGAGAGCAGGCTGGGAGCATGAGGAAAACCAGGAGGCGGACGGGACAATGGCCAGTGTGGGCTGCGCTTGCCCATCCCAGGCCCCACACACCTGCTCTGCAGAATCCGCCCGGCGAGTTGCTCCCCTGTGGTCCAGGACTCCACCTCGGCCGAGAAGCACTCCTCTGCAGGGACGAGGGGTAGGGGCAAGAGTGAGGGACAGCAGGGTCCACCCGGACAGGAAGGGAATACTGTCCCATGGCGGTTCCGAAAGCAGGAGAGCAGGGAGGTCAGGGTCACATCGAGAGGGCTGAGGAGGGAAGGGGGTCGAGGGAGGGCGAGAGTGCCAGGCAGGCTCCAGCGTGGGACTGGGGAGGCCCGAGAGGAGACAGGCGTCACCGGTGAAGGTGAAGACATCCAGCGCCATGCGGCCCTGCCTCCATCCGGCCGTCCACTCGAGCTGGGTGGGTGGGTGGGCCCGCTCGGACCCAGGGGCCCGCTGCGTCTGCTCCAGGGCTCCCAGCAGCTTGTGCTGGCACAGTGCTGCCATGCCTCTGGGGGCCTGGTCGGACACAAATCTGCGGGCACAGCACAGGGCTGCCGTGGGTATGGGGTGGCCTGCTGAGCACACCCACGGGGCCCCCACCTGCTGGGCCCCTTACTTGAGCAACGGCTTCTGCAGGGTGGACACTGGGGGGAAGGCGCTGAGCAGAACAGCCAGGAGGGCCCAGCCGCGCTGCCTCTGCTGCTCGTCCAGGTGGTGCCAGAGCTGGGCTGCGAGCTGACTGAAGAGCTCGTTGCGCAGCCCCGGCCGGCGCTGCCCCTGCCGCACCAGGTACTGGCCCATGGTCTGCTCCTGCCAGGGCTCCAGGGACGCGTCCCCCAGGAACCGCAGCATCTGCAGACACAGAGCGAGGGGAGGCAGGACGTGCGGGGCTCCCGGTGCTCGGCCAGCACCCCTTGCACGGACCCGCCCTGCCCCTCCCCAGTGTGTCACTCACCACCTTGTTGATATCCAGGGCATGCTGAGGGTTCTCACTGTCCAGCCGGGTCAGGGGTTTGGTCAGCAGCTGCCCAGGTCTGGGCAGGGATGGTTCCTGCAAGGAAGGAGGGCGACATGGCGCCTGAGCAGGGGCTGGTGTGTGCTGACCTGCCAGACACAGCCCCGGGGGAGCCCCAAGGGAGCACGTGCCCTGCGAGAGCAAGAGGGGCCGGTGAGGAAAACCATCTTAAAAATACATCTCGGGGGGCTTCCCTGGTGGCGCAGCGGTTAAGAATCTGCCTGCCAGTGTAGGAGACACGGGTTCAAGCCCTGGTCAGGGAAGATCCCACATGCCGCGGAGCAGCTAAGTCTGTGCACCACAACTGCTGAGCCTGCTCTCTAGAGCCTGAGAGCCACAACTACTGAAGCCCGTGTGCCTAGAGCCCGTGCTCCGCAACAAGAGGAGCCACTGCAATGAGAGGCCCGCGCACCGCAACGAAGAGTAGCCCCCACTCACCGCAAATAGAGAAAGCCGCGTGCAGCAACAAAGACGCAACACAGCCATAAATAAATAAATAAATAAATAAATTTATTAATTTATTAAAAGAAAAATACATCTTGGGACTTCCCTGGTGGTCCGGTGGTTAAGAGTCCATGCTCCCAATGCAGGGGGCCGGGGTTTGACCCCTGGTCAGGGAACTAGATCCTGCATGCCACAACTAAAAAAGGTCCCGCATGCCGCAACTCAAGATCCTGCACAGGCAACGAAGATCCTGTGTGCCGCAGCTAAGACCCGGCGCAGCCAAATAAATAAATAAATATAAAAAAAAAACTCTCAATCACTCCTTCTGATTAGAAAACTAAAGCTCATGCATGTGGAAAACTCAGAAAACACGGAAAAGGATGAAGAATAAAAACCACCATTAACATTCCACTGCCAGATAAAACCACAGTTAACATTTTCGCCTCTTTGTTTCTAGTCTCACTTTCTACGCGTAGGTACACACGTCATCTCCCCACCCTCCCTGTTAACAAAATTGGGATCGTACTCTACGTGCAGTTTTGAATCCCGCTTTTGCTGCCAACACTGTATCCTGGACACTTTGCCTTGTCATTCAACATGCTTTAACGACATGGCTTCAATGGCAGGGCAGTGCCACAGGTGTAACAAAGGTGTGGCACTGCAGATAAGTAACCAGCAACACGTTTAGGTTCAACGGTTCCGAGCAACACAGTTGCATCCACAGCCCCGCAACAGGAGAGGGAGGAGGGAACTGGAGACAGAAGGACAGACACAGCTTCTGCCTGACGCAGGCTAACGTCTGGGGAGATGTGGGCATCAGCCGTGTACAGCTAAGGCCTGGGGGCCCACCTGAAAGCCGATGGAGATGAAGCTGGAGAAGGGGAATTGGTCGATGTCGGGTGGGAGGGTCAGGCTGGGCCGTGCAGGAACTTCCGGGGGCATGGCCTCGGTGATGCTCTCGGCCAGGGTGTGCTGACGGCCTGGGATGACGTAGGCGGCAGCCCAGAAACGCCCAGGTAAGGTGCCTGGCTCTGGCGCTGCCTCCACCTCTCAGCATCAGCCCCCAGCTCCAGTGCAGAGGGAGCCGGGCAGTGAGCTGGGGGGACTCAGAGCATCAGAGGGAGGGACCACAGGGACAGAGCCTCCGCCCAGGAGGGGGTCATGGCAAGAGCAAAGCCCATCAGGACTCACCTTCCGCTGTCTTCAGCATGGCAGCCAGCTCAGCCGGGATCTCCAAGCGCCCCAGCTCCTAGCAGGGAGGAGCAATTGACCAGGAACTAAGAGAAGGGGCATAGGAACCCAGGGACCCTCCTCACCGCCAGGGCTGTAAGCTTCCCCTCCAAAGGCCAAGGATTCTAGTCCTGGACACTCAAAGAAATAAAGCCCCCAGAAGGAAACCAAGGGCACCTCAGGCCTCTTCTTGGGGGCACAATGGATGGGCCTGAGGGACAGGACCCATCTCGGCACCCCTGGAACCCCACGCTCCCCCTCAAGCCAGGCCAGGTTCA